AAAGTACTAATAGATATTACAGACTAACCTATTTTACCCAATTAAACATTTCCAAAGTGAATTGGAAGTAAATATTTCCAGTCATTAAAAGTGTTCATTTGAAAATCTGTAAAAATTATCATGTGCCAGTAATTAAAAATTGGTAGCAACATATGTTGAAAAAGTAGTAAAATTGAGCATTGTAAAATATTGTGGGATATCTAAATACAAACTGATAAAGTTTTGGCATATAACATACCAGGTTTAACTGGCTGGAAGGAAAGAACTAGTTTATTGATGTGGTAATACTAGGGCTTAGTAGAAGACTGGTGAGACTCATCTCTGGGGGGCAATGAGTCTGCCTATTGAGATGAGTGCTTTCATGGTATGGAGACAATAACCTGGTCCTTAACACCAATAAAACCAAGATCTTACAGTAGACTATAGAAGAAATAGATCAGACATATGTGTGCTTATCAATGGAGACTGAGTGGAATAAGTGGCCAGTTTTAAGTTTCTGGATGTTACAATAAAAGAGGGCCTGACCTGGGGCACTCATATTGCAGCACTAATCAAAAGAGCCTCACAGAGATTATACTACCTGAGAGTTTGCAGGAAAGAACAACTGAATGAAAAACTGCTGGTGACCTACCATTGTACCATAGAAAGTATTTTAACTTACTGCACCTATGTATGGTTTGCCAATTGCACAGTGGCAGATAGGACAGCACTCCAGAGGGTTAACATCATTGCCCAGAGGATCATTGGTTGCCCTCTCCCCTCTTTGGAAGAGCTTTATAGCTCCTGCTGCCTTAAGAAAGTTCAAAACATTCTCAAAGATCCTTTTCATCCTGGGCACCCTTTTTTTTTTTGAACTATTACCATCTGGCAGACAGTACAGATTAATAAAAACAAGGACAAATAGGCTGAAAAACAGCTTCTATACCAGGGCAGTAACTACATTGAATTCTACTGTATAGTGCAATATTAATGCAATATCGGGTTTTCAATTCAATTGTATAGAATGTGAAGGATGTGTGTTTGTGTTTTATTTTTATAATGTACACTGAAGATGGCATTTAATTTCATTGTACAAGGTGCAATGACACTGCACCTTGGAGAAGATCACAAACTATCAAGATCTGAAAACTGAACTTGAAAGATTAACATAAACCACTCATGGTGGTCCCAGTGGTTATTGACACAATGGAGGCCATATCAGAAAATCTTGGATGGCACTTTGTACATTGACAAAATTTCTTTCAATTACAAAAGACTGCTTGGATTTGCACATATACTGATACATTATATCATATGTTCAAAACTGTAAAGGTTCCCCCTGCGCATACATGCTAGTCATTTCTGGCTCTAGGGGGCGGTGCTCATCTTCGTTACAAAGCCAAAGAGCCAGCGCTGTCCGAAGATATGTCTGGTCATGTGGCCAGCATGACTAAATGTTGAAGGCGCACAGAACACTATTACCTTCCCACCAAAGTTGTCCCTCTTTTTCTACTTGCATTTTTACATGCTTTCAAACTTCTAGGTTGGCAGAAGCTGGGACAAGTAAAGGGAGCTCACTCCATTACGCAGCACTAGGGTTTCGAACTGCTGACCTTTCTGATTGACAAGCTCAGCATCTTAGCCCCTGAGCTACCTTGTCCCTAAGATGCTCCCAAAATGGCACTTGCTTTTGGAACGGCACATGGCGTACATCTGTTTTGGAAAGGTGATTTCTGAAGATCACCTTTTGGAAAGCGTACCCAGCTGATAAATTGTGCAGCCTTCCTATACAGTAGCTGCCATCCTAGAAGCTGATACCATTTTGGAAGAGGCCACAATTCTTTCGATCTGTGAATTATGGCTAATTCCAGAATGGCATGAAGTGGCTTTGTATAAGGCTGTGTGGTACATTGGCTGGGCACTCTTTGGAAGAGGTAATGGAGCAAGGCATGGCAGGGAAGAATCCAAGGGTGTGGGACTTAGCTGGGCAGGAAACAGGCACAAGGCCTGTGGGAACCCAGTTGAATGAAAGAAGGCCCAATGGACCCAGCTGGGTGGAGTGGAGGCAATTTCAGTGTTCCTAAGCAGCCAGATTACCAAATGCCCAAACTATAATCACATTATTGGGGGAGGGGCATTGCAGCAATCATAACTCATGATATAGATAGTAAACTGAACTAATGTTCTTAAATTGAGGACTACCTGAGCTCTTTAGTTTTGCTTTTTCAGTGTTGAATTTCATATGTGCCATCTTTCAAGTAAAAGATCTAGAATCTTAAACAATAGATGAGATTACATTTTAGTCAAATTAGCTTAACATCTCTGAGGCAATTTGCTTGAACAGCTCACAAGGACTACAGGCATTTTAAATTTGGGGCATACTAGCCTGGGAATGATGTGATCAATTTGATAAGTCTTTTATAGAATATACTACTGCTGAACAATTAGTGGATACTATTCATATAACCATTTCTAACTTGGAACAATCAGTGGCTGTGACTGAAATAAACAAAGTAGGTATCAAAAATAAACTTAAGGCAATATGATATGCTTAGAATTTTTAAATCACTCTTTCTGACTAGAAGATATAACAATGTAGAATATTTCCACCTTTGATTCGGTAGGAAAACAGACGTCAGTAACATCAGTGGATATTTATGTGGCACTGACTGTGATCTCTCTTTTATTATATATATAATCCACAAGATTTCATAAATAAAATATTTTATATTTTTTTAACATATTTTGAGATGTCCTAAAATACGAACTCTGACATATAGAGAAATGTTTGTTATAGTAACTTTGAAAAAGCAAATATATTTTTGCCACCGTGTCACAAATGTTTATCTTTTCAGAATATATGAGCATCTGCCTTTACTGATAATATTAAACATATATTTTATAGCCTGCCATAAAAATATCTGAGAAATGTCTGGAATTATGTCTGGAAAGTTAAAGTTAAAATCCTTTTTTATACACCCTTAGTTTCACAATGAATGTTATGATGATACAAATCTATTTTTTCTCTACTGAATATGTTATCTGATATGTTTCTTTTCATGCTCTAATAAAAAACAAGCTGCCGTTTTAAACATATTGTGAACACAAGCCAATCTTCTGCACAACTCCATTAAATATCCAAACTTTTCTTTTCCTCAACTAAATGAATTTTAATATTTTATAAAGATTTTTAAAACTATTGTTTGGAAGCAAAAACTAAACAAACTGTTCATGTAACTCAAGGACCTAAATATTACGGAGAATAAAATTAAGTTAAAAATGAGAATCAGATTGTACACATCTGTTTAATATATATGTTAGCAAAATATTGTAAAAAAAATTTTTAAATTTTTTTTATTTTATTTTAACAACAAAACAACATAGACCTACCACATAAAACATAAAAATATCATCCTTCATAAATTTACAAACAGTGCATCGGTTGGTTTACCACTTTTTTTTGTGCATCCATTTCCTAGTCACTAATATAATTATATTACATAATAGCTCATATTATCAATCAATAATTGTATAACCTAATATCACTAAAAAAATCATTTATAATTTTGTTAATTCATATTTTAACGAGATAACTATAGTTTACTTAGTTTATTTTGCAATAAATCATAAGATCATACCAAATCTATCTTGATAATGTTTTATAAAGATAATATCAAAAAAAAAGGAAAAAAAATTTTTATGCTAAATCTGAATATTCTATTATTATGTTTTATTATCTAACCATTGATAAAAAAGATCCCAAATTTCATAAAATTGTTTATCTTCTTGTTCTGATTTCAAATGTCAATTTACTCATTTCAGCACAATCCAATATTTTCTTAATAGTTTCTTCCTCTGATGGAGTTTTCTAACTCTTCCAGTTCTTAGCAAATACAATCCTAGCCGCTGTTAATATATTTACAATCAAATACTTCAAATTTTTATTATATATATCAGGTAAGATTCCCAATAAAAAAATTTCTGGTTTCAAGTCTATATGTATCTTTGTCATTTTTTCCAACCATATGCGAATTTTAGTCCAATATTTTCTAGCGTCCTCACAAGTCCACCACATATGGTAGTATGAGCCAGGTATCTGATGACATTTCCAGCACTTTTCAGATTTGTTCTTGAACATTCTTGCAATTCTTGTCGGGGGAAAATGCCACCTGTAAAACATCTTATACAAGTTTTCTTTATAAGCTGTTGACATTGTCATTTTATAATTTTGAGACCACAATTTTTCCCATTTCTCCAAATCAATCCCATATCTTCCCCCAAACAATCATCGTTTCTTTAACTTGTTCAAAATATTTTTGTGGTGGTACAATAGTTAAAATACACAGTATGACTCTGCCCACTGTGAGGAATTTAATCCTGACCGGCTCAAGGTTGACTCAAGTCTTCCATCCTTCTGAGGTCGGTAAGATGAGGACCCAGATTCTTGGGGGCAATATGCTGACTCTGTAAACCACTTCGAGAGAGCTGTAAAGACTATGAAGCAGTATATAACTCAATGCTATTGATATAACAAGCGCTTACATTTAGTTGGAAGCTGCTAGTGTGAAAACTGGGAAAATTAATATCAGACATATGGGTGAGCCTCTTGGATACCCTCCAGGTGGACTTTCATCTCCCAGAAGCCTCAGCAATTTCATGAGTTATTCCATATTATGTTGAGATGCCCAGATTGAGGAAGGCTACCATAGGCTGTGTTTGCACATTGATTTTGTGACAAGGTAAATCTGGTTAAATTGCAATAGTGAAATTAATTATACCACAAACCTCTAGGGCTATCATAAATTCAGAAAACATATATTAACATTAGTTCAGGAGAATTTTCAGAAGAATCCAGATTATATCTAAAGAAAACGTTTCAAATAACATCTCCCATTATCATTTTATTTTAATGTTATAATATAATGAACACGTTTCATCTTTTAAACATACACATTTGCAACAGCTGATGGCAAAAATGAAAATAAAAATTGTGCTGTAAAATGCTAAACAAATGGCTTATGTTCTAAAAATTTAGAAAGCTTTTCTTCAATATGGAAATTTTTACCATTATGAAATATTGCAAGATCTGGACACAAGCACTGAAAAGACCTTTTGGATAAGGAGACTAAAAGAAATAATGTAATAATGCATGTTCAAGTAAATATGGAATAAAGTGGTTCTTCAAGTACCTGCTCGCCAATTTTTTATGGCTTTAGGGAATATCATCATTGGCCAGGATAGAAAAAAGATAATTAAACAGTGTCCTGTTCTGTTGGAAAGCAATTGATTGAAATTATATTTGAAACTTGAGGCAGTTTGTTTCTTTATCCCAACAAAATTTGTCTGGAACAAACTAGTTATAAATCATAGCTCTAGGAAGCAGAGTTAGACCACTAAGATTTTATATATTTTTATTTTTTTATAGAAAAAGAACTACAACTGCAAAATTTAAAATTTTCCTCCAATTTACTAAGGACTCCCAAGCTATTTACATCCTTCCGGCTACATAACAGTTAATATGTGCAATACATTTGTAATTTAGTACATCTGCTTTTGACAATCTCAATGCAATGCTTGGTGTCCCCCCAATTCCAAAGTAAAGGATATACCCCATCTTTTTACAGTGGTCCGTTTCTTCGCCCTTGTTTGTAAATTTATCACACCACTACGGGTTTAACGGTTTTTAAAATAGTAATGTTTTCCAGGGTTCAGAATACCCCCCCACCCCCCGGCCTGGAGAAAAAAAATCTGTTTAGTCCTAAACACAGAACGGGGATTAGTCAGTGAGCGATGGTTTTGTCGGTATTGTTCCTGAAATGTTCCTAAGTAACGAAAGGTTAGCAAACAGTTCCCGTCTGAATTTAAATTTAGTGAGAATGTGGCCAATCCGCAGCTTCCACTCGTCACGTTTTAAAGCCAACAGTTAATTTTAGCAGGTAATTGGTAACTATCAATCGGTAAGATCTTTCTCCGTCGAGGCTACCGGTGGTAGCTCCGAATTCCTCACTCCGCAAGGCCAAGCCCCACTCTCCTGGCGGGAAAAGTGGAACTTTCTTCCACACTTCCCCCACCCCCCCGCTCCCCCAAGTCGGGCTTTAACTGTCCCTGTCAGGTTCTGACAAGCCGCCGGGCGAAGCAGCCCCGGACGAGCCGACGCTCTCGGGGTTCGCAGCCGATCATGTTGGAGACGGGCAGGAGAAGCGAGGACGCCGGCAACCTCGCGGAGTCCAGAGGACTCCGCTTGATTCGGCGGCGGCGGCGGCGGAGACGCCAGCGGGAGGGGAACTTGGCAGCGGCGCTGACGCAAAGCATGGCGCTGGCCGTGATTGGCACGGCGGGGGCTTATCCCAGCTGGGTGCTGGTGAGCGGCGGAGATCTACAGATTGTGCTGGGAGCGTCTTGGGTCATCAACAAGGCCGGCCCCGCTTCCGGGTCGCTGCTGTTGGGCCCGAACGGGGCTCCCCTTATGTTGGCCATCGCTTTCTGCTGCATCTTCAGCGTGTTGATTGGCTCGTTGGCCCTGACGCTGGACTTCTTGGGATGGCGGCGGTGGCGCTCGTGGGCGCCGTTCTTCCACGGCTTCACCACGCTGCTGATCGTCTCTGCGACGGCGCTCGGCTTCTGCCTCTTGGAGGTGGTCGCCAGACGGATCCGCACCAAGAAGGAGTTTCACGGGTATCATTTCTCCATCAGCCCCGGGCAGAGCCTGTTCTTGGCCTTCCTGGCCTGCATCTTGGCAGCTGCCGCCACTTACATAAGCTTCAAAACTCCGGCTCTGACGGAACCGTCACACTCCCCCCGGGATTTGGAAAAGCTCGAGGAAATAAGATTCTTCCCGAGCCGCGCTGAACCGAGAGAATCTACCGACATCTCCGCAGCGTCCTTCCCTTTGAGGCGTACATTTGGATTCGGGAGCGACTCGATGGACGACAGGGTGTCAGACAGAGAGGAGCTCTACGAGTGCGAAAACTGCAGAAAACTGCGGACGTCTTCTTTCCATGAATGTTCTCTAGAAAAACGAAGGCGACTCCAGGAAGCAAAAGAAGTGCCTGACCCAAAGTGGCCGCGGCGGCTATTCCAGGGGGAAAGTAAAGCGGTGGAGAGCGAAAACGAAGAGAAAGTTTGCAGTTCTAAAACCTAAGTTTCTGATGGCAATCTGGAGCCCAAAAGCGCACATTTGAGACAAACCTCAATAATCTGAATGTGTTACAAAAAGCAAGACCCATACCCCTTTCTCGTATTTATTCTTAAGAATATTTTACTTTGGATTGGACAAATAATTTCACCGAGAATTCATTAATAGAAAATGAAAGATAAACATCCTATGAAACTGACAGCTGAAAACTACATGCACGCATTTTATAATATATTAACCAGCAATTAATAATTACTTCAGCTGAGTAAACCCAAATATATACAATTTCAGTTTAAGTGTTCAAATTTGCACAATTTTTCACCTTTAAGAATGTATTTCTACCACTATAAGCAATTTTGTTCAAGACTAGCTACTTTTCAAAGTTTATTTCAGGACTAGTGTGAATTAATATTAAAATTCAGATTAAAACAGGACCTACAATAAAAATACAGAACTATCATTTCCAGAGATAACAGTATCATATTTGAACCATTTGTTAGGAAATATCCTGAGGCAAGCCAGCTATCAGGAATGCCTAAATACCTGATAAGCTACCTCCAGGTTTAGATTTTTATTCAGCAATTTACCTTTATTAGATATATTTTCTGGATGTTGTATGTTCTAAACATCTGATTTTTCAGTCTTGTTTCCTCCCCTCCCCATTTGTTGATATTTGTTTCTTAGACCACCTTGTATCTTGTGAGAGATTTACTGTAGTTTGTTGTTTTGAAGTACTATCTCTTAAGGTGAAAAGGATGAACCAATTGCATAGATGCTTGGCCAGGAGATGCTTAAGATCCAAAATTTTATTAGTGGATTCAAAATGCAGCAATACGCTAATTTTGAATCTTGGATTAAAATATGCATTGTGCAAATACAAATAGGCAAGATCACTTTAAAAATATTTAAAATGGACATCAGTAAGATATTTTTTCTTGTAAAAAAACATTTTCAATTAAATTTGTCATCTTCCTGTATACCACATTGGAAAGGAAAAATGAGTTTTTGTAATCTCAAATGGCGTTTCCTCACTTTTTAAAAATATTATTGGAAACATTCTATTTGGGGATAAAATCAGTGGACCAAGTTCAGTCATGTGTTACGAATGTTCAGCTTTAAACAGTAAATTATTTAATCTGAATATAAAAATGCTGTTACACTTTTGAGCAACTATTTTACCTATTCCATTTTAATTCCTTTTCCCCCAGTTCAATCATATTGGATTCTAAGAGACTGCCTGGATAAGTCTTGTTTTCCTGGCAAGGTTTTTCAGAAGTTTTTTTGCTACTGCTTCCTTTCTAGGGATGAGAGAAATGATTAGTCCAAAGTCACTCGGCAAGCAGGCTTTGTGAGAAGATGAAACTAGAACTCAAGATCTCTAGATTTCTAGCCTGATGCTTTTAACCCCTATACCGAACTGGCTTTTTGACTTTTTAGTGTATCAATTCCCTGGTTAGATGTAAAATATACATCTCCCTTCCCCACTGGCAATATACAGTATGATTTATCTCTAGCCAGAAAAAAAGGAGCAACTAAATTGCCATGTGCAAGCTTGAAGTTGGGTTTGTGATTTGGCAAGAACCCCAAATGTTTCTAAAACTTATTTTGTGCATATTGATTATAGTAATTAGTGATTTGGAGAAAGTTTTGATATGACTAAATGTGACTAAATCATCATTTGATATGACTAAATAATTCCAGTTGGTGAATGCAGAAATATAATACTGAAATATTTTACCCTTGCTTAAAATGGTATAAATAGAACATGGAAAGTGAAGTTCAGGATTAAAAGAAGAAATAAGAAATTACACCACCATTTCTTTAGACAAAAATACATATACCAACATAATCTTGTTTTAAGTTTTAATGTTTATTTTCCCAAGACAGCCTAGCCTGCATTCTACTTGGATAAATTTCACAAGCTAGTTTTCTGCTGCATCTAGTTAAACTTTTAACCATGTTTCTTGATGACAAGGAATGCTGCAAAAATACTCTAGTCCAACAAAGAGTTATGATCACAAAATAATTTGTATCCATTCTACTGCATTTCAGAATTACCAGCGGATTTAAAAAAAACACAAGGTAGAGATATAGATGCTAATGGTGGCTAACCTGGTACGTTTTCTTACAGCAAACTGTTGATCATGCAACACTTGTGCTCAAAGGGGAAGGCACAGCATTTCCTACAATGAGCCACCTTATAAAGAGTTTTCTTTTTGTACATATTTGTAATGTTATCTTTAATTTAGTGTGCAGAACCTCAAATTGAGGTATTATTCCAATTACAAAAACCACTTGCATTTTCATGCAAGTTAAGAATACAAAGTTCTCTCTAAAGTGGCTCAAAATAGATTGTTCATGGCTGTCTACATCTAAAGATAAAAGTCTAGAACAATTGGACAGATTAGGTGGTATCAACAGTGTTCAAACCATGACTTGATTTGTACATCTATTCACATCTCCAATCTTTTCAGCAGTACATATGCACCAAATTTTATTTTGAGGTTTCCATATCATTTTCATAGAAAACAAAGTTGAAAACAATTAACATTGAAACACAGCACGGTATTCTACCACAACAGAAACAGCTGGTTACAGGACTCAACAAAATCTAAAAATGAGCTATGCTGTAGGTCAGGGGTCGCCAACCTTTTGGACCTCAGGGACTACCAAACTCATAGTTTTAAATCCTGTGGACCAGAGACCTCAGGAAACCCCTCCCCCAAAAAAGTCTGCAGGAAAATTCCCAACCCCATTTTCCTACCAATCGATTGTTCTTTATTTGGGATCGCAGGATACCGTCTCCAGTTCTGTTCTCGTGGGGGGAGAGAGGGAGATACTTTTGGCTTTATACAAGGAAAGCAGCAGAAGACTTTCTTTCTCCTCCCCAAACTCCACCAGGAATGAGTCTTTGCAGCCTCTTGGAGCAGAAGGCCTTATAGGGTCCCAAAGACTCATTTCTGGCGGAATTTGGGGGAGAGAAAGACAGACTTTGGCTGCTTTCCTTGCATGCAGCCAAAAGCCGAAGCGAAAAGCAGCAGCAGGGTGGCCAGGCAAGGCGCGGGGGTGAGTGGGGCAAGTTCCCCGTCCCCCCCTTTTCTGCCTCCCCTCACTACCTCGTGTTGTTGGCAATGCAAGCGACGCAAGCCTGGTGTTCCCACGCAGCCTGGATTAATTGCTTGGGGGGGACATTTTTCTGCGGACCACAATTTTCTTGCGGACCACCAGTGGTCCCCGGCCCAATGGTTGGCGACCACTGCTGTAGATTACCGCATGCAAAAATAGCTTTGTGTCACCTCTGAAAATGAAAAGATGATAAACATTGTTTTCTAGTATTATGATAATTTTTGTGTACTGCAACACAATAGTTAGAAGAGGGAAATGTATGGATTCCATGCAAAAATCTACACAAAATAGTTTTGATATGGAAAACTTTTTTTTGTAATAATGAGCAATCATCTGGTGCAAATGCACAGGGAAGCCTTCCTCAATGTTTTCTGACTTTACAAGCAACTAGTAATAAGCCATACAGGAAATAAAATAACTAAAACTGAAAGGGATAAAATAAAATAAAAACACAGGCTGCAGGAGTAAAACCATAGTCTGCTGCTAAACCGGTCTCTTTTTTTGTGTGTCCAGTGTTATAACACTTATGCACTCCTTTTGATGATTGACTAGGGTTATTATCAGCCCCCTGAAGGCAAATCAAGCTTGCATGCATTCACATACAGCATCACAACCATACTCTCGTACACACCCCACTCCAAGACTAGGAGTCTGCTTTATGAGCTAAAGAGCCCTAGATTTGAAAAACACACGTGGCCCCACAGCACTGAGTCCAGACATTCACTCAATGTTGTCCATTCACACGGTGCTTCATTAGCAAGGCCTGGGCTCATTCTCCTTGGACTTATATGGGCATCCTATTCTCCTTTATGCTTACATGGCTTGATGATAGAATAGTACTGCATTTTCCCCACAATTGCGCTAATTAAATCAATGTCCCTCCTCAGGCACTGAATTTCTTTGACCTGTAGCCCTTTTCCTTTGAACAACCTATATAAGCATTCAGTGTGAAGTTTTTCATTACATTTTGCCACTCACTCTCACTCGCACCCACTCGCCATCTTGACTTCATTCGGGCTTTTCTGTGATTCCAAATGAAATCTTCACATTTTCTTTCCTGATTTAATGCAGCAGCGGATCCCATGAGCCAAGCTTGATGGATCAAACCTTTTTTATTCAGTGCTGCATTGTACCTAAATTCCAAAATACCACTCTAGAACTGGAACCCTTCTGCAGGTACATTGGCAGATGAATTGAAACCAAATGTTCCACCTTGTATTGTTTCAGGAACAAGGCTTGGATCTTCATCTATCTGTTAAAAAAACAACAACAGAAAGATCTGGAATTAGATACTGTATAGTTATGAGGCACTATGCTGCATTTGCAGCAGGGACAAAGACTTGGTCCTGTGAGCACCTCTTTTGGCTTGTGGGTGTAGATTTATTGCTAGCAACATTACAGGTAAGTTTTTGTTTAATTCCTACCTTGGACAGCAAAAATGTGTAGTTACAATAGTGATGAAAAAACAACCTTGTGACCAATGTCTTTCATTAATTACAACCTTCACAGTGTCTGTATCTGTCATATTTGCCTTTACAGTCAGTATATGTCAAGGGTGGATAATTAATTTTCCCAAGGGGACACTTGAGAAACTGACTGTGTTGGAGAGCGAACCTATATAACCCAATTTGATGTCCTCAAACTCCATCACCCCAGGCTGCTCCAGAAATGCTGCACAAGCACAGAAAAGTACTTTCTCTCCTCGCCCTCCTGTGGCTGCCAGCCGACTGAAGAAACACAAGGTGAGCCAGACTCGACTCGACTTCTCCAGCCTCCTGTGGCGCACTCAATTTGATTTCTAATTTCCAATTGACCTCATACTGGTGGGGCAGGGATAGCCAAAGGGTCGAATGTGGCCTGGAGGTAGTAAAATGCCCAGATCCGGTATAGGTTGTTCTGTCCCTGACATATCCTGCTCCTGCTCACCTGTAGAACAGAGATTGCCTGAACAATTGATCTCTGAGTTGCTTTTATCTACAGCTTAGCTTATCCCTAAAGTGTGCTAACTATAAATTAACAAACTTAGCACTGTGACCTTAATTAGTTGATCATACCACTGGTCTTGCTGCCTGACACTGATAAGACCCTAATCAATTTCACCCTAGAATCTGTTTGCTTCCCAAGTCACTCTGGCTTGCAGTGGGGGCTAACACATTCCTTTCAATGTGTATCCTCAACTATATATGGCTGCTGACTTTCTTGTAATCTCTTCCTCCCTAATGAATGTAAAATATCAATTCTCTTTGATATTATGGCTAATTATGCCAGCACTGAGGTGAACATCCCAAAGAATGGCTAAATGGGGAAAAGGGCTACTATAAGATTTGCCCTTTTATCCTACTTCCTTATGAGTCATTCCAGAAACATTCCCTGCCATTTGGGACCGTATCATTCTGACACTGTAAAGCAAACAAAAGTCAAAATAAAATAGTTTAAGCATAGTGATGTGATTTTTCTCTTAGCAACTGCTTTGCTTAACAACTGGTTTGCCAATTCCAACTGCCATTGCGAAACAAGGACTACCTGTAGTTTAAAAGAGCGTTCTGTGAATTTTTCAGGATTAGTTTTGATCAAGGAAACCTCTCTTCCCCCTTTCTCTGTAACAGCTGCACAACTTTTCATGCATCGAGTTGGAGAAACAAAAACTAAAATGGTTAAAAAATAAAGCACTTCCAAATGTAATAGAGAGCTTGGTAACATATTCAATATTCATAAACAGAATTTACTTACATCATCTGAAGAGAAGAATTGATCAATGATCTCATAAGCCAGTTTGTAGATGTCTTCATTTTCATGATTTTGTAGTTGTTCAATTTTCTCCAATCCTATAGGCAAAGCAAAGAAAAAGTCCATAATCAACTATAGATAGAATATTTTCAGGACATAATTATTTCTGTAACCATATTTCAATAAATAAATATGCATATTTTTAGAATATCAACATATCTGGAACTGTGACAAAATATGAAATAATTTAAACTGATAGAAAGGTAATGAATTCAAATCTTTTATAATGTAAACAAATTATACCTCCACATTCTTCAATAAAGTTGGCTATGGTTTCTGCCTCATCATCAGCCATTTTTAATATATTACTTAGCCCATCCAGCACTACTTGTACGACCTGAGCATCTTTTACTATTAACAAGTTGCAAAATGGAGGAATTACATTTTGTTGAATTAGGTATGCCACCTAAAAAACAAAATTGATATCAGGGCCATAAATTAAGATAATGTTAAAAACAGAAAACGGTATGTATATTTAAAACAATAAATGATTAGATATTATTTCTTAACCTGAAAGGTATTATCTACAGACTAGGGAATACATAGATCTTAATGATATAAACTACCGTGATTTTTTTTAAAAAGTCAAGTATTGTTCTTTATCAGATTGAACACACATTTGATGAATTTAGAAATTTACAATTTCTAGATACTGCATGTTCCTACTGATTTAAAGTGTAAGGATGGTAATTTAATGTAAAATAATTCAATTTTTTGATCTGAAGTTCTTTGCATATATAAAGGTACTTTTCTGTACAAGTGTATCTAAACAATTTCCACTATAAGTAATCTGCTTAATGACCACAATTGGCCCCAGCAATTCTGTCAGTAAGTGACACAGTTGTTATATGAGACACTACATGATCACATGTGATTTTACTGCTAGTTTCTACCTTGCTTGTCAGAAGCTAACCATGAGACACACAAAAAGTGATCTTGTGACCACTGGATGCTGCAATGGTCGTAAGCGTGAGGGTTGGTCATATAGTTAATTTTTCAGTGTTGTCTAACAGAACATTTGCTAAACGAGACAATAATTAAGCAAGGACTACCTGTAATTCTATTATGCATCATCACAACCTATATACTGACTTATGAATGAAGGCCACTGCAATAAGAAGGGAACATACGAAAACATTCTGTGCACTGAATACTGTTTATAATCTTTTGGTTTAAATAATTGAAAACACACATATGATTTTAATTACTTTACAGAAAACTGAGATATTATAAATTAAACTGTACTGAGATAATTTACCTTAATATTGTTTATTCTGAAGGTACCCTTAAAGTACTATTATCTATTTCTATACCATACTGTAATTGAGATATAAACTTAAGGAATGTGAAACTGGAAACTGTTTTGAGACATTTTTGTTTCAGTTAATCAGAAGTTAAACTATTCTAAAGACTTTTTTGAGCCATGATGGTGCAGTGGTTAGAATGTAGTACTGCAGGCTACTTCTGCTGCTCACTGGCTGCCAGCAGTTTGGCAGTTTGGGTCTCACCAGGCTCAAGGTTGACTCAGCTTTTCATCCTTCCAAGGACAGTAAAACGAGGACCCAGATTATTGGGGGCAATATGCTGATTCTGTAAAACTGCTTAGTGCTATAAAATGGTATATAAGTCTAAGTGCTAGTGCTATAAACTTTAAAAGTATCCAAAACAAATCTAATAAGAGTTAGGTAATTCAGTTCTGAGCAAGCTTGCACTGGAAAACAATAATGAAGGAGTTCTATACTCCAATCTGATATACCTGAAGAAAACTCAAACTGGACCTCCTAAATATCTTCTAATTGTACCGTGCATCCCATTTGCATTTCCATTTTAATTCCATCATATTCCCCTATCTCAAATATGTATGAGGTATTACTTACTTGATCTTTTCTTCCACTGATTGTCAGGTTACTTATAGCCCAAGCAGCTTCCTTTTGTGTACCAAAGTCACCCTAAAAACATGAAAAAATTGATACATTATTTTCAGCCCAAGCTTTACTTAATAAGATAAATGGAAGATTTTTAAGGGGGAAACTTAAAAAGCAAATCCATTGTTCTTTATGGGGATTTTTACCCAGAAACTGAAAGTAAATGCCAGGTTCTGGAAAAACATTGTACATTGCAAAGTGTCAAAAATGTGGTCATGTGTCGAAGCATGGAGAATGGAACTTCAAATTTAGGGCGTAAAGTTACTTTTTTGGGATTTGTCATAACTTTGAACTATTGCTAAATGACTGGTACTAAGTCAAGGACTAGCTGTACCTTAACTATTAACTGTAGGAGATAATCAGGCTGAGCCCAAGGGAAGGGTCAAACATGCCATCAGTTGTAAGTCACTTCATGCCCACATGAAATCTAAGTCCACAGCCCACCATGAATTCTGTTGACTCTTTATCTGCTGCCAATTTGCTTTGATCGTTAGTAGTTCATATTCTTGTAAAGAGCATTAGCATACAATAAACCTACATTCATTTGAACTGATTGGACCCCCGACTCCAGTTTCACTCTTTCTCCCATTCTTTTCAACATCTACATGAAACTGCTGGGTACGGTTATCTGCCAATTTGGGGCTCAGTATTATCAGTATGCTGAAGATACTGAATTATATCTTTCAACCCTGGGTAGCCAAGTAAAGCCGTCAAGGTTCTGTTCCAGAGTCCAGAGGTTATATGAGTTTGGTGGGGAGAAACTGTATCTGGTTCATTCCTACCAGACAGCTAAAAGTGCTGCGAAGATCTGGTTCTTCACCCAGACCTTTGGTAAAAAAGAAACCGCAGCTTCACTGCACTTGCCATCTTCTAACTTTAATGGTTTACTGATTTTATTGCAATTTGATTGATGTGAGCTATCTAGAGTGGGCTGCATAAAAGTTAAAACTATTATTAACAATTAGTGAACTACCAAAGCAGAAGGTAGCTACAATGATTTGAGAGGCACAGTGTAATCTATTTATCTCCCCAAATCCTTTTAATCCTTGATTCATAAAGCAATTGAGCCAAGTAGTTATGTATATATCTGCTTGGAGTTGATATGTAAGGCAAAAAAAAAAATGGCAGGAAAGAGAATAGAATACCAACCTAATTTCTGTTAAGAGAGTAGAGTAATCTTATTGCCTGCAGATATTAATATGTAGTATGGTAGCTTTAATGCCACCGCTGCATTCATTTTTTACTGGAAGGTATCCTGTTTATTACTTTTTTTACCTGGAGTTTGGTATTATATTTAATATACAGTATTATGAGTCCCATTTTATGAGTTGGTAGACTCTCCCAAACTCTGATAGTGTTCATATCATGCTATCAAAACTGCAAATATCCCAAAATATTGCCTATTACTATTTAGTCTTCCATTTGAAGAGCAAATATATCTGTTCTATATGATAATTTACTTGTTCTAAAATATGAAATGGTACCTTGTCCAAATTTGGAGAACCAAGACTTCTGTGGCATTCACTGTACCATTTAGAAAGATGGCTAAAATAAAATTTGAGCTATTTAGTTAGCTACTGCTTTACAGCAGAATTTCTGAATATGAAATGAAAAATCCTTTCTCTCTCTCCAAAAGAAACACTGCATTTAGTCCACCCTCCTACAGCATTTTGTTGACATATGACTGCCTTTGAAAGCATCTGGTGATTAATACCTGATTTGCATTATAAAATTTGGTACTTGTAATGATTCATTGTTGTGCAAGGCCTATAGCAGTAGACAACGATTGAGGAATTTATTGAAAAGAGAAAGGCTATTTATGGTACTAATAGATTGTTCATTACATAATTTACCATAGATTTAAAATATCTAAAACTCCTTAATCAACTTTGTCCTTTACATAACTTCATTCTCTAAGTCTTGAATTATAATTATTTTAGTGATATAATTAGCAGGTTGCTTGAGGGTTGGTGCTTGCCTTGCTAGAAAAAGCTAAGTTTACTGAGTTATGTGATCTATCAAACAGACAAATGTGCACCCGTCTAAACAATTTAAGCAAATGTTTGACTAACCTTATCTAAAAGATGTATTATCATTGGTACAAGGTTAGCATCTATCACCGCCTGGACTTGCTGCTGATTTCCTGCAGTGATGTTAGATAGGAACCATACAGCTTCCTGCAACAAAAAAGTAACTTTAATAATACTTAAAGAACTATTACAAATTCTGAAAGTATGGCTTGACTCCTGTAGGGCTGCATGTTTTCAGTATGAACATGGTAAAGTAAAATCTTGGTACTAGGTACCATTTAAGTTGCATGTTAACCTATTTGTGTTGAAATTGTTCAGCATACATCTGCTTCCAAGATGAGTTCTATTTAAATCGGATAAGAACTAAGTTAGGGTTATATACATACCTTTACCTATAAACAACAACTTTGTGGGATTATCCCACTGAACTGATTTTAAGGTCAAGTGTAAATATGAAATAATAAAATATAAATCAAGGCTTTTTGTTTTTAATCCTTGTATATTCTCCAGGGGCACCTGAAATGGCAGTCGTATAATTCATAAAATAAACAAATTTCCAAAAACTTTTATGAAGTTGTAGCATTTTACAATCTTCAGTTGATGAATTGTTTAATAATGAAATGAGCCTAAGATTAGCCGGAATTTAAAGGGGCTGGGTTCCCTTCTCATTGGTTTTAAACCTTGGTGATTCTAGTACTGATTTAGAACATTACATATATAGACTACAAACTATATGCAAATATCAAGGGCACATTTTTTTTAAAATGGGCTTTAAACTCACTAGATAAGTTGTTAAAAATGAAACATATTACCTGACGTATGGTAGCATCCAGCTGTTGCACTGTGTTTAGAGAACGATTTACAAGTATTATCAAGCCACTATAATGATAATTTCCAAACTCTTGACCAAAATACAAATCTCCATAGGACTTTGGGACAATGAAATAAAAGACTGGCTTCATATAATATGTTAAATTATAACATAGCTTGATTGTTTCAGCATGATGATTAAACAGCCACTACAGTTAATATTGAGTAAACTAAGCCACCAGGGTTTGTTATAATGACATAGTGCAATGTTGAACTGGATTAAAAGTTCACTGGATTAAAAATTTGAGCCCATAAGAAAAGACCTTTAAACAAATGTATTTAAATAATATATATTCTGGGTTATTCCCCTGACTACTCTGTGGTGTAGTTAAGAAATTTTGCATCAAAGTATCATAAAGGGTAAACAGTTTTGGGTAGTGAGAAGCCTATTGAATACAGATTTGGTAAGTTATTGTGACCAATTTATATTACAGTGAGCTGGGAGCTGTCCTTGTAAACTTAATGGTAAATACCAACTAATGTTCTGAAGCCAGGAATTTTTGAATGGATATGGATGAACTGAATATTAATCTACAGAAAGCTAGAGGTGCTGTGGGAATAAATTGATTGATCTAGCTAATGAGGTGCATGCTGTTGTACATAACATCACACCCTTCAGTGAAAGTCCAAGTTTGAACCTGGAAATTCTTCTGAAATTATGATCTTCTTGCACTAGCTGTGCAAACCCCTTAACTTTATTCACTAATGGATATGGATTTTACTTTGATCATACATGCATTGATTACATGCAGATTATGCTATTTAATGCAATCAATCTGGGCCTATTAGACTATTAGGACAGTTCAACTGATGCAAAATACAATTGCTTGAGGTTTGGTGGATGAATGGAAGTCTACTACGTTACTTCTATGATAACCATATATTACTGACATGTTTACTGACATGTTTCCAATATACTTATATTGGTCTTTTAAGAGTTGAACATTTTGAGCCAGATATTTAAAAGTTAACTGTGTCCACATGAATCCATCTAGGCTTTAAAATCAATGAAAAGCTCTAGTCCAGATTGGTAGCCTTGGCACATTTATTTTTCTTTTCAACTGATCTATAGCAGTGATGGCGAATCTTTTTGGCACCAAGCGCCCAAATTGGAATGTGCGTGTGCCAGAAACCGAAGACCAGCTGGCTGGCGCACACATGCATGCCAACCAGCTGGTCTTCGGGCTTTGGGAGCTCTGGCACGTGCAAAGACCAGTTGGCCAGCGTGCACGTGTGCATCGTAAACCAGAAGAGCAGCTGGCGATGGTGCATATGCCCACAGAGAGTATGCTATAGGTTCGCCATCATGGATCTACAGTCTCAAATCTCACCAGACTTGGGGATGTTTAGTATTACAAGTATAATTCAGTAAATAATTAAAATCAAAATATCAAATATGTACAATGTAGTCCTTTTATTTAAGTTATATTTCACTTTTTGAATTTTAACATTTACAAGTCTATAATTATATTTACTCTTTTTTGCTACTCCAGAAAGGCCATTTCTAAATTAAATGAAATGTGCATATAAATAAAACTGTTCTGTTGAAGCTTTTTTTAAAACAGCATAATTTATAAGCGTAATCAATTGAAATTTCTATGTGTTTTTATTTTTTTAAAAAAATGCTTATTCTTTATGAATAAAAACATGCTTGAGCATTTTAAAAATAATTAAATGATTCTTGGATCAGATTACATATTCATTTATATGACTAAAAGAACATGTCAGAGGTTTACAATTTATAGATACAAACTGTGAACATATTTTGGGCTTTAATCACAGGCAACGTTGCAGCAAAGGCCCTATGACTTAGCAACTGTGCCTCAGATGCACTCCAATATCAGCAATTCTTTTCAGTGTCCACAGTTTGCATCATTATTTGGCCCTAAATGCAGACATGCACCACACACATTCTTTCACTCACACACACATTTACTTTTTACATATATTGAATAAAACAATCATGCTCTTCGATTCACATTCATCCCTCTACATTTTAACCTCCATTTCATCATTTCCAAGAATCAGTAAGGTTTGAGCATAGCTGTGTTCACGTGGAGTCAATGGATCAGTTAATTATATTAATTTCTTATCAATAACATGTAATAGATAATAGTGTTGTACATATTTACATTACCTTATTAATTTTTTCTTTGGGGTGTGTCAACAGAGCAGGAAAATGTGTAAGAGCTTCACAATTCAGAACTACCTGGGTTTGTTCATCAGTGCCAGTAACAATATTGCCTACAGCTCTGAGTGCTGCAGTCTAGGAGAAAAAAAAATTCAAACCTGATGGTCAAATAATGTCCAAAAGGAAAGGAATGGTGATTCATTGAAAATATTATGCATTAATTTCATCCCTTCACCAGATTTAAGTTATTTACTGTAAGCTGAATGCTACCAGTGAAAAGGTTCCAAAAGAAAAATTTTTAAGGAGCCAAGTATTATCTAGGAAAATAGATATGTATTTTTCGCATTGTAAGACACACTTCCCCCCCACAAGAGCGCGTGGAAATGTCTGTGCGTGTTATAGAGCAAATGTTGCTGAAACCCCACCCACCTACCAGCCTCTACATGCCCTGTTTTTGGCTTCCGTGCATCCCATTTTCGGCCTGTTCGAGGCAGCGGGAATAGGCGATGCCGATTGCCGCCACCAGGGATGGGCCAAAAATGGTGGCAGCGATGGGCAGCAGCGATCCCTGCAGTCTGAAAGTGCCGATTGGAGGATCCAACTTCCAATCAGCTGCTTGTGCTAAATCAAGCTGTGATAATGTGTTGAAACTGACCAGGCTGTTTGCTGCAAGGACACTAGCCAGATAAATACCGATGGATGCTGGGAGGCAGAGGCAGATTTTTTTTTCTTGTTTTCCTCCCCTAAAACTAGGTGCATCGTAGGGTCTGGAGTATCTTATAGTACAAAAAATACAGTAATTTGGTACTCCTATTCTAAGGACAGAGTGTTAAATATTGTTCAGTTCATTTATTTGATATGCCATTTCACACTAAAAACAAAGTCTATTCATATCAGAATATGTTACAGTTCTCATTTTGAGAAAATGACAACTCAAAAGATTTTATATATTAATTTCTAATGTAGTGCTTCCCCTAAAAACTCAATTTAAAGAAAGGAAGCTTGCAGAATACTTACTTGTACTTTAACTTCCTGATGGCTGAGAAGAGGAACCAAATGAGGAACTATCCCAGAATCTATCACCATCTGAATCTGTTCATTGCCTGAATCCGTTAGGTATGAGAGGGCCCAGACTGTATCTACCAATATCTAATTAGAAGAAAAAAAGCGTCACAACTTCACAAGCAAGAAAACAATGAGATTTGATTGCAATGTTTCTACTTAATATTGTCTGTCTCTTTCTAGAAAATTTGACTTACATTCTTACACCCACATCTTAGAGTATAGCTCAATAATAGTAAGAACAAAAAGGATACAAATGCTTCCAGACCATAAAGAAATTCATTGGCCTATTGCGGACTTTACCATCAAGGTCTATGCTATAATTGTTATCAAATTCATGATTAGTTCTCTTGCCCTCTCTCATAGTTCTGCCCATTTTACATTGCTGTCTGCTACTCACTTGCTTGGAATCCTCCTTCCCCAAGATTCATTTTAACCTCATTTCTAACCACAAATTATAAAATATGTATCAAACTTAACTTCTTGCTATTCTTGCTACAATATTGTGTATTATTAATTTATCTGGGAGAATATTAAATCTTGCTTATGAATATATGTACAAATGTACATGTTTGTCTGTGTATCACAGACACATTTTTGTACCATCCATCTCTAAAGTAAAGTAAAAGTAAAGTAAAAGTTGTTAAAGTTAAAAAAAGTAAAGTAAAATAAGGTAAAAATAAAGTTAAAGTTAAAACAAAGCAAGATAATGTAGTTAAATGAGATATACAATGTGGATAATATGTAAGTCATGATAGAACTATGTAACTTTTCAATGATTAAATTTGGAGAAAGGGTAATAATACCAGGAAGCCATGGTTAAGGGATTATGTGCAACATTCCTTGATATGTAACAACAAAACATATTTACTTATTTGAGATAGCAGTGATTTGCTGAAAGGTAAGTTTAATAGATTAATATATACTTAAGCAGGTACAAATTCTGATAGGATTGTGTACTTTGCTGTTACCTTACAAAGTATTTTACTACTCACATTTACATCTGTGTGATGAATTAAGACACACAATGCTGGGAGGATCTAGAAGAAGCAAAACACACAGAAAAAAAGGGTTCAAAATTCAAAATTGTGCAGTGAGGCCCAAACTGACTAATTTCCAACAAGCAAGTAGATTACCTCTTGAATGGTTTCCATCGGTGGAGGTGGGTCTTTGTGACGGCATAGGTTGACCATTACCCAAGTTACATTTCTTAAGAAAGTTATTGGAATAGATGGGCTGATGAATGACAGCAACGGCTTCACCACTCCAAGACTAATGACATAATCTCTACATTGTGGCCCATCACCTGTATAAATATGTAAACATTTGTAATATATGGTAAAAATATCTGTGCACATTTTCAACGCAAGGGAGGATAATTCTAATAGATTACTATTAGAAATGCTTGTCTTTTAGGCTAGCAATCTAAGGCAACTATTTCCATGTATTGTATTTCCTACAGGGAAGAAAAGGCTAATCCCATAAATCTATTCCACTGAGAAGTTGCTCTTATTATTATATATTTCTTAATATTCATGGCAACAAACATACTCCTGCCTCCAATTTCCCCCACAATGCTATGAGATGGGATTGTGCTGGTGACCAGCCCAAAGTCAGCTTTCATGTCTAAGGGAAGTCTATCACTCAGTCTCCTTTATTACTACACTAAAATGGCCTTTTTCTATTTCTGTATCAATCACAAGATCCTCAAGATCAATAATTATTAAACTGGGGGTAAGTACCCCAAGGGATAATTTGGGCATGTCCTGGGGAGTAATGGAACAATTTGTAATTGCTTGTTTGTGAGTTGAGGATCCAGCTTGGGACTGCTGCTACCAAAATACTTACATACAACAAAAAATTGTGTGTGTGCGTGTGTGTGTGAGAGAAAGAGAGAGAGAGAGAATATCATTACAAGTAGTCCTCAACTACAACCACAATTGAACCCAGAATTTCTGCTGCTAAGCAAGATAGTTGAGTTTTGCCCCATTTTGTGATCTTTCTTGCCAGTTGTTAAGTGAATCATTGCAGGTGTTAAGTAAGATGGTTGTTAAGTGAATCTGGCTTCCCTATTGACTTTGCTTGTCAGAAGTTCGCAAAAGTGAATCACATGATTTCGGGACACGTGAGTCAGTTGCCAAGCATCCCAATTTTGATCATGAGACCATGGGGGTGCTGCAATGGTCGTAAGTGTGAAAAATGGTCACAAATCACATTGTTCAGTGCTGTTGTGACTCCAAACAGTCAGTAAATGAATTATTGCAAGTTGGAAGGACTACCTTTTTATTTCATACCAGGAAAAGGGATAACTGGATTGATTTGTGGTCCAGGCCTCAAGTCTAGAATTAGTCTCAAATCCTTGCTACGCCATAAGAGATCCAGAAATAACCCTCTTTAAGCTCCATAAAAATAGATCTGTTTCCAACTGAGGCTGACATCTGGGAAAATTCCTGTATAACAGGCAGAACGTAATAAAGTAGCAAGCTTTAACTCTTCATGTGTGGATCTGATTGTATCTGACACACCATGAACCAAGCAATTCATGTTCTATTCTTCCATTTAATTTTATCAGAACATCCATGCATATCATTAAAACATACTTTGGAGAAATGGAGAAAAAAAGATTATGTGCAAAACATTTCTGAGAAAAAAAACTAATATTAATATTGCAGGGCAAGCCTGGTAATTTATTAAATGTTAAATTACTGAATCAGCATGTCTTTATATAAAATGTAACAAACCTATGATATTGCCTAAAGCCCATACTGCTTGTTCACAAACATTTTGATGGGGTGAATGCAGCAACCTCAAAAAGAGTGGGACAGCATCTGCAAGACAGACAGACAGACATAAATTACTTAACTGTTTCAAAGCACAAAAACATTCTTAATATAGATAGGACTTTAAACTAATGGATAATGAAAACTGAAAGCCTTAATTTCTGAGAGCTGCCAAAATTTCTGAGAGCTGCCAAGATGAGAAACAATACAGGCAATCCTCAATTTAAAACCACAACTGAAAGTTTCTGTGGCCAAGCAAGACTGTTGTTAAGTCAATTTTGTCCTATTTTATGAATTTTGCCCTATTTTATTTTTTGCCACTCTTAAATGAATCGCTGCAGTCATTAAGTTAGTAACTGGGATGTTAAGTGAATCTGGCTCCCGCACTGACTTTGCTTATTAAAAGACTGCACAAGGTAATCGCATGACCCTGGGATATTGGAACCGTTATAAATATTACTCAGTTGCCAAACATCTGAATTTTGATCACATGACCATGGGGATACTGCAACAGTTATAAGTGTGAAAAATGGTCAGAAATCACTTTTTTCAGTGCCATTGTAACTTTAAATAGTCATTAAATAAACTGTGGTAAGTCAAGACTGTAACCTGCAGTCCCACTGTTGGAAGAATCAATTCTATTCAGTACAGCAACAGTTGTTTCTGGACAGTTACATTACGGAATATGTAGACTTTCTAATCATACCAGCATATACTGTATCAAGCTAATTAGAGCTGGCAATATTCATTTTCATTAAAAGTATTTTCATCACTCTTTTTTACTTAAAAAGCACACAGACCTGTTCTTGGCCATGTGTTATTCAGTAAAAATGATTTTAATACACTGTGTTTATACACCTATATTTTAGTATGCTTTTACTAACTTGTGCAAAAGCAAAAAAAAAAATCATAACCTGATATAAAGTAGTGGCTGGATACCTTGGTCTACTCTACATTAACAGAATTAAAACTCTCAACAGCCAACCAGCAAGACCAATAGAGATCCTAATAGTTTAGCAAAAATTAGAGGATAACAAGTTCCACCCCATGCTCCTCCATTAGACAAATTATTATTCATTAATCAAAACCAATTACATAAATTAAAAATAAGGCATTTATAATAAGCAGGACTCAAATTCTGAAATATGTTAAGAAAATCAAGTCTCCATAAATATTATAGACTAGCTCTATACCTGTGCTTCACTACGAAACTAAATTGGGCTTAATTTTTGGGGAGGAATTTTGAAGGGGGGGGGAATTCTGACTCTGCCTACCAGCATCCATCGGTATTCATCTGGCTAGCATCCTGTCAGTATGTGAAAGAGTTGAGGGCTGTTTGGAAACTGAAGCAGTATTTGCTGTGTGAGCAAGGAAGAGACAGCAAGGAGCCTGGGCATGGCTTAGCTCAACTGTTCTGTACTCAAGCTGCATGGTGCTATGAAAATAAAACTGAAACTCCTCTGCTTGTGTTTTGCATTTGGAACAGATTTATTTTCAGGTGGGGAGGGGGAGTAGAACTCCTTAGCATCAGAGCTTGTTAATAATAATTTAGGAAACACTAATTCTCTGATGGTCATTTCGAAAAATCCTTTCTAAGTGAGCACCTAGAAGCTAAGAAGAACATACGTGCCAAATTTCAAGTTTGTAGGTGTTACGGTTCTGGAGATTTTGTGATGATGCCTGAGTGGTATTTCACTTTTTATATATAGATTAAAAATGAAATGTCTTATATAAGCTAAAAATTACATTTAAATTTCATATGATGCAACTATTTTCAATATGTTAAAAATAATAAATGAATACAGAATGAAATATTTGGACTGACAATTTCTACAAAGAAATTTCAAGGCCAAAAATAGCATTTAAGTGAGGAATCCTATTTTAAAAAGTCAATATTTAATCTCAACTTAGATTATATTAATTACACAAATCAATATTGTTTTGAAATAGTTAAATGGAACTCAATTTTCTAAACCATACTCTAATTTGACAAGGCTGACCTATATCTTTACCCTTCTTCCATTTACTCCAATAATTGCCCTAGATCAGAATACCTAGCTGAAGATATTTGAAACCTTAAATGTAATTTATTTTATTTACATTTGATAAAAATGTCAGTTTCATGAACTGTAGTTCATTGAAATTAGACATGATAACAAGTATCACCTGAGTCTAAAACAGAAGGAAAAGCTTGCAAGTTGCTTTCTATGGCTATACTATAAGAAAATAGCATATCCAATGAATCCAAGATTCTTAATCACACTATGGTATATTATAATATAGTAACACAATGATTTAATCCAAGGATTCCATTACTTCTTAAACTAGTTGGATTATACTGAAGGAAAGCAGATATTTTGGTCTGTGAGCTGTGATTGCGCAGTGGTTAGAGTGCAGTATTGCAGGCTACTTCTGCTGACTGTTGGCTGCCTGCAATTTGGCAGTTCAGATCTCACCAGGCTCACAAGGATGCCTCAGCCTTCCACCCTTCTGAGGTGTGTAAAATGAGGACCCAAATTGTTGACTCTGTAAACTGCTTAGAGAGGGCTGTAAAGTGCTGTAAACAGTATATAAGTCTCAGTGCTATAAGTCTAAAATTGCAAAAAATGTATTATTTCAATGGAAAGTTGAGAGAACCAGCATGCTGACAGTGCACGGGCTCACATTTATTTCCTTAAAAAAAACCCAATAATCTGTCTACAATCTACTACTTTTAAAAGTTTTTAGAATATTCTCTTGTCCACTTTGGCTTTAGGCAGGTTATGAGAAACATTTTACTTATTCAGCACAGAAATACAGGGTGATGTCTTAATCAGAGCACTCTACTCCTTCATAAGCAACACAATTAGATAACAAGAGACAAGAAGGATGGGGAATATAAACCATGTAAAGGCTGGGATAAATTTCAACCCACACCTGAGATGCAGGTTTCCCATTTCTGGAGTTAAAAGAATTGACTGATTGGTATAGTGTATTCTTAAAACAAAACAAATCTGGAATGTACATAGTTCTATTTAAACAGAGGTTTTGCACAAGTTATGTGTATACACAAATGCATTAGTAATAATTAACTTACTGGATTGAACTACAGCCTGTGTTTGTTCAGAGGTTCCAGATGCAATATTTGTCAGGGCCCATGCTGCTTCAAATTGTAAAGATGGACTAAAGATAATATTTAAACACATAGATACGAGACAAGGATTTAGTTTTCATTCCAGTATTTTCATATATTTGCTTATATTTTAAAAAATGTGCTGTTAAGGTACATACTCACTTATCATCTCTTTCCAGACAATGCACTAATATAGGTAATATTCCAGACTTTATTAAATCATCAATCGGTGGATTGCGATCACTGGAGAGTAGTTTTCTGTTTAAAAACATACAGTATTCAATCAAAATTGCATGCTAGCTTTAATTTCTTTCATGTGAGCTTTCAATAAATACTTAGATCCCAAATTATATCAAAAAGAACTGACACTATTTATCCAATATTTCAAAATATTTCCTATCTTAGTATTGATACAAAGATGAAATAATATGAGTAATTCTGATACTTTTCTCATTAATATGCTTGAAATGTAAAATTATTAGTTGCCAAGTGCCTGAAATGCAGTCATGTGACCATAGTGTGGTCAAAGTATCCTTTCCATGCCCATTGTAATATCAAATGCTTATTAAGCAACAATCCACTATTTGAAAACTACCTGTGTACACATGATATCAGGGCATCATTTGATCTATTTTTGTTCAAAAAATTATGCTTTAGGTTTTTAAACTTTTTTTACTAGAAAAATCTATTAATCAGAAAAAGAAATTTACTAAAGAGATTTAGAACAATCACAATTTCTGTTAATAAACTTTATTACAATCAGACAATTCAAGATGTTAAATTTGCACCTTACCTTGCAGCCTGTACTGCACTTAACTGGACTCCCTGGTTGTCACTTGAAGCATTCTAAAAAATAAACCCATTAATTAATTTTGCAGTCAGAACTCTTAAAATATGAATAACTTCACTGATTTTAAAAAATGGAAGAAGATATTTACCTGAACTATTGCCTCCAATGATGTATTTTGCTATTATGGGAGATAATGAAGTATTAGGAATGGTTTCTTTAAAAAACAAAACAAAACAAATGGCTCTTCTGTATATTGTACTTATTCTTACCACTCTGAAGTCACCATCTATATCAGAATCTTCACAGATATCTTCATGAGGTACATTTCTTCTTTTTAAAAGATGCTCATCTCTTTTGTTCTTTTAAATTTAAATACAAATTATAAAATTACATTCTGGAATGTTGGAAAATGCTTTCCCAATCTAAACATATTAAAATTTGCAAATTAAAAAAAACTTTCTCAATATAAAATAAGAGCAAAGAACAAAATGCACAGTTTTTATAATTCACTATAATTAAGTGCAGCACACATAAAATGAAATAATATACAGCATATTACCAATTTTAACACTTTTCTGAAATGCAGAAAAGTGAAGCATAAACATGCATGACTAGTACTGTACTGCTATAATAGTCAGGTTACCAAAGGCAAAAAAAGTACATGTGAACTATGAGATCTCAATCAAATTATAATTTTTGCTCTCCTTCTGTTGTTCATAGGCTCAATGAACTTAATTCACTGCTATTGCTTCATTGTCAGGCCCATTTTTAAGTTGTTGTACAGGCAGGGTAGGTTGTAATTAGTATACAATAGTGCTTCCATTGTTTGCACAATGAATATTTACAATGTTTTAAATTGGGATCTTGCTGTTTTGGTCCATTTAAAAAACAAACAAACTTCATGCTTTTGTTATTTGTGAATGCCTCCATTTTAACAAATTATGGACACTACAAAGTGGTGAACAGGGCACAGGAGAAGAGAAATTTCTCATATTTATGAGGATAGTGGCACCAGTGTTGCACTAGACTGAGCCAATATTAATTTAAAATTACAGTATGTGATTAAAATGTTAAACCTTACCTTTCTTAATTCCACAACAACTTCATTTCGCTGTCTTCTCATAGTCTGTAGAAAATATTATAGAATTATATTCCACTCCTAATGTTTTCTGAAGTAATATGAGTTCTAAATGTGACTATGAGATATCTTCAGTTCTACAGCATAAATTCTGTTATAGATAAATGAAGTAGAGCCAAAACTAAAATAAAAGAGTATTAATATTCCAAAAACTGAAAGGAAAATAGATTAAACAATTAAGCCAATTAAATTGCACTTAGTTATTAACATAATACTGTTTCAGTATGTTTGACAATTGCATACACTTATATATAATCTATTATTTGTATTAGAAAAAATAGTTCTATTTAATGTCACATATTAAGCACAATTTAGATGAATAAATCTTTCCCTTGGTTTCCTTTAACATTTTTTCCAACTTATCTAGATATTGAATCTAACTCTTTTAATAACTGTACCAAGTAATGAAACAAGCCAGCTTCTAATACATCAACTGGAATAAACAGCCATGGAGAACACCAGGCTTTCTTTTTTCTCAGACATGAAACTTCCTCTGTCTACAATTTCAGAGTTTCAAGAGCATATTTTTACAATAAGCTTTATATTTCTTTTATTAAAAGTTATCCCAATACAATATTTGTCAGACATTAAAATGTTCAATTTTATTATTAGAAGGAATAATAATAAGACATGGAAAGAAAAAAATGTATGCAATGTCTGAAGTTCTTTGCTAAGTTCATATTGATCTTAATTGCACCTTCTATTCCTATATTCCTCTTGCAGATTAAAGGAGGGAATGAAAATCTTAATTTTCCAGATCAGGATTCCAAGCCCGGGGGAGGGGGGGTGGCGGCAGACAGAAGATGGGACAAGAAAGATTAAGGCATTGTGAAAACATGCCGTATACAAGATAGGTTTCACGAAAGGTATTTTCAGTCATGAAGTATAACTAAGCTAAAAGGCTACAATAAAGTTATAGAGCCTCAGTGGCGCAGTGGTTAGAGTATAATACTGTCAGATACTTCTGCTGCAGACAGCTGCCTGCAATTTGGCAGATCGAATCTCACCAAGCTCAAGGATGACTTAGCCTTCCATCCTTCTGAAGTTAGTAAAATGAGGACCCAGATTGTTGGGTCCAGTATGCTGACTCTGTATGCTCACTTAGAGAGGGCTGTAAAACACTATAAAGCAGTATAGAAGTCTAAGTGACATTGCTATTTCAAAAACAAGGTCTGTATGAAGCTTAATCACATAAATTCCAACAGATCCACACTTTTTGTTACAATACCAATTTCAAATGGAGCACGGAATTCACCGATCCCTGAGGAATGTATTTGTGAGCACGTAATATTGTTGGACAGTGTTAAAATTTTTGGCATTAACTAAACTAACTAAACTGCTTCTGCTATGATTAGGCCCTAGACCTGAGAGCATGTAGAATTGTGAGTAAAGAATTACACTGTCAGCTAATTATCTCATGGAGTGTCCAATAATTGTTTTTATGTCAGGTCTCAAAGAAAATTAAATCAAAAGTTTCACTACATATACATACATACATGCATGCATTCATGCATACATACATACATCTATCTTTAGAAAAGCTTTTAACTAATCTAAACATCTAAATTTTTGAAGGGGAATTACTGGTTTGTACAGACATTCAAGCTTCCATGTTAGTCATAGACCATCCATCTAGCCCACGGGTGTCAAACTCACGTCACATTGTCATTATGTGATGTATCATGACTTATTTTGCTAAACTGGAGGTGGGGGTGGCCAGCACATGTTGCATCTGGACCACGGGATGAGTCTGACACCCCTGATCTAGGCCTAATCAGAGAAAGAACTGGAATCATGTTTTGCTGAATGCAGACATCATATTTTCACCCACTTCCCCATCTAATGAAACAAACAGGGAGAAGGCATGTCAACTGATTGACACTATAATATATATCTTTATAGTGGAAATATCAACTAAAATAATAAAATTTGTGGTCTATATTATGGATAATTCAATTTACCAAAATATTCAACTACTTAGACAAGGACAGACATTTCAAAGTATGTATGTATGAGGTAGGTAGGTAGGTAGTTAATTACTGTGGATAGTGTCTCCATGGTTAAATTTAGGCAGCAGCACTATAACTTAATAATTCAACTGAGTATTTCAGATATGTCCATTCATGTTTTCTTGTTCAAAGCTGGTCACCAAAACAGAAGTTTTATTAAGAATTTCCTACAGGAAATACATGCACGTATTTGGATTAACATTCTGAATTTAGTCTGATATTGTCACCAAATTCATTATTTATGGAGAAATTACCATTCAAAATGGAAGAATTTGAGATTATGGTGAGAACCACAGACAGTTAAGAAATCACAAGGTTCTTTTCTACATGAACAAAGCTGGGATATCTTTTTTTAACTGTTTAGTATTTAGTGATTACTTAGCCTAATCTCTAGCAAACTAAAATTTTATGTTTAAAAAAACCTGACATTTTTAACAGAAAGATAAAATGTAAATTTTGTCCTTTTATAGAAAGAGAATGAAAAAATACTAACCCTCACTTTATTTATTCACAGTTAAAAAATACTTAGAAAAGTAACTATCAGTTATTTAGTCAATAATTTGTTGTATATTGCTAAAGCAATACTGGAAGCTTTGTTCTGTATTGTGTATTGGTACTGGGTTACTAATAAATTTACTTATTGTGGCTATTTTTTAGTTTTAGAAACTCTGTATACAGGAGTATGTTTGAAAGGCTTTCAAATTAAAAAATCATTTTATTGTTTTTACTTTTGTATACTGGGTTTTTATTTTTGTAAGCTGCCCAGAATCAGTTGGTGATCATACAAACTCCTTTTTTAAAAAAAGCAAATGAAAATGACTTTTAGTAGTTTCAACTTCTTTCTAGTCTTCTAAATCAACCAAAGATGGTTATGTGCTGCCATCTAGCTGAAGTGTTACACTTTACAAATACTGTTATGTAGTCTAGACTTTGGTTTGTACAACAGGACGGACACACATTACTTGCATACAGTATTAACTTTCCACGGACAAACTTTTATGCACGTTTTATAAATCTTAATAAAACCACTGACTCATCAGAATTTTCTGCAATAATTGATGTTGAAGAAATCTGGCTATTGATGTATTTATTTCAAAGCTATCTGGATTGGAAAAATGCTTTAAGCAGATCTACTTTTCACCATTTTTGAGTTCTATGAAGTCAAAATTATCACTTTCATTAGTTTGCATTCACTGTGAGTTCTCTAAGCAGGCTAGATGTAGCTTTAGTTTTAACTTTTTAATGATTATTATTAACCATGATTTTTCACCATCTATGTTTCATAATGAATTACTTTTAATGGATTTTTGTTTCAGCTAACAGAATGGTATCAACTACATATTTCAATCTATCGGCTTTTCAACCTTTCTGATTCTAGCTATTATCTCTTTTAGCCTTTTAATTACAGTAATTATTATGTAACAAGTATGGAATCAACATGTATCTTTAAATTACTCCCTTTTCTATTCCAAGCCATTTTTTCTCCAAATGCAGTTCTTATTCTAGAACTAGTATAAAGGATCTTTATTTTCCAAATGCAGTTCTTATTCTAGAACTAGTATAAAGGATCTTCAAAGAATAAATCATTTAATCATCTTAATTTAATATATTTTAAATTCTGGCAAGAAGTATAAATGCAAAGGCATTGTTTACAGTAAATAAGACAACCTTTTCTTAAAATTCTCTTGCTCTCTCCACTTTATATGCTTCTTTTTCATTTCCCCAATAGAGCATTATTCCCTGTAAAATATTTAAACTGGAAAAAAAATATACAGTGATTTTTTTTTTATTTTGCAATGCATACACTCCCTTCCATTTCTTGCCTTAAGTATGAATACATGCTGTTTTGCTTTTTTTTTTTTTTATAAAGAGCTTGGTATCATTTTAAATGTCTTCTACATTAATTTCAACAGCTCAATGACTATTTTATCTGTATCTGGTATTCATTTGACAGGGCACTGGGTAAATCCCTGAACGTATTTTTTTTTCTCTCTACAAACATTTTGTACAAACACATCTATTTAAAAAAGATAGGATGCAACAGTCAAAAGTTGAGTCCAAACACCTTTCTGAAACAAAGGTGAATTTTGTTGATAATTTGATTTTACATTTCTGAACACAAGTACAAAGTTGGGAGAGTGGATAGTGAGAACTTTGGTAAAAGCATGGGAACCACTGGAAATATTGCCCAGAGAAAAGGCAATTTAGAAATCACTGGAAGGAATTATTTGGAAAGACTGGGAGATAGGCTAAGGACTAGTAGGAGGTGGTTTGACTCCAGTACTGGGAAGGTAAGAGCAAAGTGAAAAATGGCTTGGAAGCATCAAAGAAGCAGTGTGTGTGTGTGTGTGTGATGTGTGTTAAATGATCAGTAGCTTTGGGTTTTAATGGAGATTTGTACTTAACATTCCTTTCTTTTGAATGGCTTGTTAAATCAACTTTTTACTATAATTCTCATTCTATAATCTAATTTGTAAAGGGTTGCAATATATTTACATCTTCCTCTGATCTCAGTTGCCTCTATCATATCTATTCCACCATTACTGTTCAGTACTGGGTCAGACACACTTTTACCTTATTTTTTCTTTTAAAACAGTTTACTTCAGTTTTACCATATCCACCCCTGTTGATATTGTTGACCGAGATATTTTTTTTATTTTTTGATACTGCAAAAGGTTGCATTCAGTTGTCACAGATATTTCTTATTGCTAAAGGCTTCCATCCTCCATCTTTCTTTAGCAATCATAATAGCTTTTCTGAAAGCTGTTTATTTTCCAGTTAAATGCTAAAGTAGTTTAGCTGCTTCAGTTTTGAAAATGTCTCTGAAAATTATCATAAAATTTGGTACGTCACATACTGATCCACTTTTATACCATCACAAATGTAATTGCCAGGTTCAGCTGCAGGACAACCTGTGCATGTTGCATGAAATTAAGTTTTGGCAAAAAAACAAAAATACATACTTGGACAATATTATTAGTTTCCTGTTTTAGTATATTTACTAAATTCAAATCATCCTACTATCTCATGTTCCCATTTCTTCAACTTTTGTATGCCAATCACCCTTCAGCAATATTAAGTCTTTTTTCTTGCTTAAATTGCTTTTAACACATCTTGCAATTTGTCATAAAACTGTTTCTTTCACAGCTGTGTTTGAAACAGGAGTATATACTTATGAAATACTGATCTTCACTAGAATTCCAATAGATGTGACTACCATTTAAAGGGATATAACCAAGCACACACTTACAGCTAATTAGTTTAAAACAGCCCAAACCTAATATCCTCCAGATGTGTTGGATTATAATTCCTATCCTTAACCATAGTCATAAAAATAATTTGAAAATAATCAAATTAGAAATAACAGAAAGTAATACCTGTTGTTTATTAGCATGTCTACTGTACTATCATATATAATACATCTATTACCTCATAAGTCAGATAATGTCACAAAACTTAAAGATGACTTATGAATGATACCTCCTTCATACTAAAGATTCTTTCTATTTGAAATACTAGAATCAAGAAGATTGTTTTCCACAGAAGCAGGAAAACAGAATTCCCAAATGCCCTTAAATACTCACCTTTCATTAACCTCCTGCATGGAAAAATAGTCTGGCAGCAAATAGCAAAAGCACATTTTTATTATCAAATATTGTAGTGCTCCTAATTTTCTGCCTTCTGTCGATTCCAACTTAATTTACTCACCCCAATCTTTAGGAATGAGCATAGCTGTCTCTTATAAAATTTAGAATGAACAATATACAAGTTAAACTAGTCCCAAGCTTTGGGCTGACATCTGCAATGGACAATTTGTTAGCTTGTGATTTTCAAGCATTTGGTTACCACTGGAGCACAATTCTACACAAAGGTTACATTTAATTAGGAATTGTACAAACATATAAGACATTAAAAAGTTCCATCTCAACAACAGACAAAAATCTCAGAGCTATACCTCAAAGCTCCTGCCACTCCCTCATAGCTACAAAGTACTCAGATGCATTCAGTTCCCATTTGCTAACTTGCTTTTATTACAGATTCCTTTTCATCTAGTAAAATTAAAACATGTTTTTCCCCATTATGTAGATAACAAAACCTTAACAATGGGTGACAGATTAATTCCAACATTTTCTAATTTTAGAATAAAATCTTCCAAAATATACTTTGCAGATGTTCAGCACATCTCATTTGTGAAACAATTTAAAACTCACATAAAATGCTATTAACTATGCACAAAAAAATACCAGAATTCACAGCATTTCCTAGCATTATATATCCTGTCTGTGAAGGAGCCCAGAAGCTGAGGGAATTAATATGGCACTACTCATGGAACCAAATTAACTTCATGAAATTATAATTTTCACTAGAGATAAGCAATTACTTATAATCCTCTCTGAAGCAGAGCTGGAGTGAAATATTAGATATGTATTGAAAATAAGTTAATACCATATCAAGGTACTTTCTCAGCTAAGCAGGTATACTAAAATAATGTTAAATATACAATATAAATTGACCATATTTTCAAAAGATTATTTACCTGCCAGCCATCTGTGAGGCATAAGAGCATATAATCTAAATAATATGCTGTTCAGATGCATGATAAATACTATGCTCTAAAGGAAGTAGATATGGCAGCAAAAATTCATGAAATCCTAGACTGAAGGATAAAGTTTTATGACCATGCTATAGCAGATTGTTGCTCATATGATTCTTATTATTCAATACTGGCATCAACTTTGTTAAAGGAATGTATTTTAGATCATCTTGTGAGAAAAATAAATGAACCTAAATAATTCTGGCCAATCTCAAAAAGATAAGCATGTGCTTAGTACTTGGATAAGACATCAGTAGGATACCCCAGGACTATTGCCTAGGCACAGAAGTTGAAAAAATATTGCATAAGACCAATTTCATGTTGCTGCTAACTATATAGACATGTATCCAAAGTCACTAGGAGACAATTTATCTTTAATAAATTCTCACCTTTGTAATTAGTAAGATAATTCAAAATTTGAGATAAAAATCTGAGAAACTACAAATTGAGATGACATTCATATAATTTAAAAGAATTTTACTCAAATGAGAAATAACCAAGCTGCTTACGGTATAGTGCCTTCCATCACTGACCAACCATATCCAAGGGCAGTTTTTGAGCAATCCTGGAAAACTCTGCAATTTATTTATTAGTTTGTTTGTCAAGGTATCTTTACATGCAAAATGACCAGCTAGTGTCATTTCATTTGTTTCCAGGCTGAAGCTCCGCTGGGACAGGGAATGCTTGTAAAAAAAGTTAATGGCTTCACAGAACAAGATCCAATATTCAAATTTCACAGCAAGAACACTTGACATTTACGTGTTACTGTAAATGCAACCAAAAGTGAACCAATTTTAAATTAAAAAAAAAATCACTTTACATTTGCACTGCAGAACAGGGAAAAGTATTTTTTTTAAGAATTTTTTCAACAATGTAGTAGGCAGAAGGCCATTTGTGCAACTGTGTGGCTCCAAATCTGTTTCTCCACGGCAAGGTGGAGATCACGGGGGGAGAGGGAAGGTTGGGAAGAGGAGAAAAACAAGTCATCTGACAGGCCATTTCCACGCCAGGCTGCTGAGGGCGGGGGTGGCTGGCGGAAGGGGCAGCTTCGGGCATTCGGGCTCCTTCTTTCCACGCCTTCCTACCTTGGGCGTCTAACAAGGCCTTCAACGCCTATCCCAAGTAGAAAAGGCAAGGAGGACAACCTCCCCTTCCTGGTCTCCCTGAGCAAGAAAAAAGGAACCTTCCCGGCCGCCGCGCCGAAGAGCGGCAGACTAGGCCGCGGCCCTTCCCAGCCCAGGGTGTTGAGTGTCGACGCGTCCCTCGCGAGGAAAGCACAGCGAACCCCACCCTCCTCCTCCTCCCCTCCCGGCGGAGGCTGCGGCCTCGCCTCGAGGCACTTCGAGCAGGCCTATCGGCCCACCGGCCGGCCGGCCCCCTAGCCGCTAACGTGCGGAGATTAGCAGAGACGCCACGGGCAACCCATCTCCGACCTCCAAACTCGCCGGGACCCTCTTCGGCGCGAGCGGCGCCTCGGCTACGGAGCCTTCTCCTCCTCCTCCTCAGAAAGGGGTGCCTACCTCCAGGTCGCGGCCTTTGTTCTTAAAGTTCTTCAGCCGTTGGTTGTCCAGCTTCTCGTTGTCGGCCATGGCGGGAGGCAGGGAGCGCGGCCTCGCTTCGTCCTCTTTTCTCCCTCCCCGGACCCGGCCGGGCCCTTCTTTCCCGGTTCTACTGTCGTTTCTTCGTCCGTCCCCCACCGGCTTCTCTCAGCACCGCGGCGGGCTGGCTGGCTGACTAACCCTTACCCCGAGCCGCCTTCGGCTCCGGCCTGTCTGGATGACAAACTAAGAAGCCGGCAACGGCTTCCCTGCCTTGTTCCAGCCGCTCCCGTTGCCTTTTAGGCCTTTCTCAGGGCGGCGGAATGTGCCGGTAGCGAAGGCAAGAGAGCGAGCGAGCGAGCGAGAGAAAGATGGGGGAGGGGAGGGAAGGGGACGGGCGGGGGGGAAGAGAGCAGGGGAGGAGGTTGTAGCCTCGCTTTCCGATCGAGGGCAACGGCCACGCCTTCCCCCTCTCCAGCGCCACCCCGTGATTGGCTGTTCCTCCGCGGAAGGGCGGGACGCCGGAGCCCTTGGGTGGAGACACATACGCAAATGAAAAGGAAGGCGGAAAGATGGAGCGCTTGGAAGGAAAGGAGAGGTGGAAGGGCTGGCGCGCGCTCGCGGAGCTTTCCATTCCCTTCGTTAAGGGAGAACCACCTGACCGTCTTTCCAACCGGACGGGGTCCCGGGAGTCATTTCAAGAGCACGGGTGACCCCCGGGGGGTCTCGACGTGGACCAAAAAAAAGGTTTCAGTCGTTTAGGCGTGGCAGAAGGACGTTTAATGACGCTCGCGTTTCCCGATGGATTCCTGCCTCCCCCTTCTTTTAGGAAGCAAATGAACTGGGCGGAGTCGGGAGTGCCTGCGACTGTTGCCTCTCCTTCCCTTCTGTCGGGAGGGGGGGGAGCAGTTCAGAAAGCTAGTGGCGGAATGGTGAAGGCGGCGGGTTACGCACGGAAAGTTGATATTTATTGATACCAGCTTTTGCATTTATTTATAAATGTGTCGATTTTATTCCTCCTATTTTATTCCTAAATGACTTCGGATGGCTTGCGGAATAAATATATAAACATTAAACGTGCACCGTCGGGTGCAACTCAAGAGGGAGTTACGACTTAATGTACAAGTCTTAACAAACTTGAATTAAAGTAGTTTTGAACATTTTCCTCATCTCTTCTACCTATTGATTTCTTAAAACAATCACTCATTTTTGTATTTAGGAGGCCAGAAGATCAGCATAAGTGGCAATTGTACTGGTAATGTCGGGCCTTTAATATTGTTGCAATAGGGATATTTTCTGGTGCGCATTTTGAAAACTTTCATAGGCCAATGTAGCTTTGTAGCATTATCAAAACTTTATTTTTGGGCCCATTGTGATGCTCAAAACCTGTTTCTCTTACTAGAGATCAGAAATTTCAACGGTTCGGAATAAATGCCATTTTGTCATCAAAAAGACAAACTCATACTTTAACTTGAAGCAAAAACTTTAATATTAGTGTTTAGTATATCCATGTAATCTACCGTTGTTCTGAAGTGTAGTGAATGTGCCACAGATACTAAGTTCCTTTGCATTGTCCCAACCAAACCCAGAAACAAAATATGAAAAATGCAACTTGTAATTAAACATCATTCTTTTGCCATTCCATTTCACAAATGAGACCTTGATTCTCAAGTTTTCTTTTGCCATTTTTTTTCATTGTTAGGTATCTTGGCAACATAGTTGCTCCTAAAAAAATTATAAAAATTGATGACAGATAAATCCACAGATACTTCTTCCCTTTTGCGAATAAATGTAGATGTATATTTCCTATTTTCTAGCATCTCTAGCATCTTGTATAGCCAGTAAGGGGATAAGCAGTGTTGAAATGGAAGGAAATGGAATGCCTGCAATATTTTTTACCTTTAATCTCTTTTGGGATTTATTCAAGTCTTTGTAGAAAAATACCATTCTAGAGAATTAAATAGAAATTTAGCCTATTTTAGATTTATGATAGAAATATATTGGGGCATTTCCAATATAACATGATTAAATAAAGTGTGTATAGTTTTTCTGTTTGAAAATTAACTTTCCTATTTAGTTTTCTAAACTAATTCTTAGAATAGCTTTGTGCGTCAGCCATATATTCATCACATAGAAATAATGTAATAATATAAACCAGTCCAATGCAATCTATAGGATGTGTCTTTGTAACACGTCCATCCAGAGTGTCTTTGGTAGAAAGTTTTTTTCAGAGAGCCAATGGCAAGCATCAGCTAGAAGGCATGCACGAAAAAAAGTACTTTGACTTCAGCCTACTCGGCCATAACAAAAAGAACTTTGTTTTTCTCTGCTTAGCCATACATTATTTGAATTAAGGATTACTTTACAACTTACTGTTAATATATACATTCTAATTAAACATGTTTGCATCTCTGGAATTAATAATTGCCGTATTGCTATTTGTGCAGTTTTATTGTTGACTTAATTTTGGATGTACAGTAACATTTATTAAAATCTGGAAATACCAATGAAAGATGGAAGAAATAAAAGCTTCCATGCAAGATATTTAATCTCACTTTTTTCCAGTTTTGATGAAAGGAGGCAGGAAGTTGTATCATTGTATCCATAGAGAAGCCAGTTGAAAAACACTTGTTATATTTAGAAACAATCAATCTAGAATTCAATTTTAGCAACAATATTTAATAAATATATAAAATATATGTCTTTAATAAATAATATGTATTAATATATTAAATGCTAATTAATATTTAAATAGTATTTAAATAATATAAGTAAATATCTTGGCATTCTTTATGAACATTCATGATAGCCTTCTGCATGTGTATGAGGTAAAGGTAAAGGTTCCCCTTGCATATACATGCTAGTTGTTGGCTCTAGGAGGTGGTGCTCATCTCCGTTACAAAGCCAATGAGCCAGCGCTGTCCGAAGACATCTCCGTGGTCATGTGGCCAGCATGACTAAACGCCAAAGGTGCACAGAATGCTGTTACCTTCCCACCAGAGTGGTCCCTATTTTCTACTTGCATTTTTACATGCTTTCAAACTGTTAGGTTGGCAAAAGCTGGGACAAGTAACGGGAGCTCAGTCAGTTACATGATGCTAGGGATTTGAACTGTCGAACTGCCGACCTTTCTGATTGACGAGTTCAGCATCTTAGCCGCTGAGCCACTGCATCCCCAATGTGTATAGAAACATCTAATTGACATAATTACCAATGATATTATTGTTATTGTTTTATTGTGTTGTTAGCTGTCCAGAATCATATTTGCAAGATTGGCAGCCATATAAATCAATTCATTAAATAAAAAGTCTCAGCACATAATTATATATATGAACACTATCTTGTATTCTTGTCATTCCAGAACTATATATGGTAATAAGCTGGTAAATTTTGATTGCAGATTTAAAAACAACACCTTAATTCAAACAATGCAGAACAGAGGGTCAAATCACATAGATATGACCGCTATCTTTTGACTTTTTATTCATCTATGGGCATTCCTGATGCAGAAAATAATGTAATTGAATTTCACTGTGTTAATCAGAATGTATAATAAATCTGAACTATTTTATTATTTTGTAGCCTGTACTATTATACTATGAATGTAAAACAACCAAGCATATCACATCTTTACCAGTTCAGTACAAAACATTTACCATTTTAAGTGTGTAAATGATCTTTAGAGCAAAGAAGTTCAATAATTTTGGGTAATATTGCAGCTGTTACATACCTATCTGCCAGTGAAATAGAAAATTTGCCTGTGGAAGAAATTACAGCATTGAAATATATTAACTGCCTACTCTTTCTAGAGTTTTGTTGCGCCCAGGATTAATGGTTTCATTTATACTTCTTTTCAATTGAGCACTCAAGACAATAAAATTAAAAATCTAAAAATATTTGTCTCACCTGAAAGTCATTTCACCAATAAAAAGCAACCACTAAAACCAATGTTCTAAAAAGAAAATAAAAAAGAAATTAAACTTAATACAAAAATTAACAATTAAAAGATATATGACTACAAATTTTCTTAAGCACCAAAGAGTTAGCCAAACACTATTCCTGAGGAAATGAATTCATTAGCTCAGCAGCAACCCAAAAGAAAAATGTGAGTGAATCTCTTAAGAACATCTTCAAAAGGTGTTTTTGCACACCAAAATGATCAGGCAGATTTCTAACCAGTTTGTTGGCACTATATCTATAGTCTTCAACTGGTAGTCCTCCACTTACAACCACAATTGGGGCAAACGTCCATCACTAAGTGATACGGTCTTAATGTGAATCACACCCAATTTTAGGACTGTTTTGCCCTTGCCATTAAGTAAATCACTGGTTGTTGAGCAAATCAGACAATTAAGCGAACACAGATTTCCCTCCCCCCACTTGACTTTGTGGTTGGAAAGCTTCTGGGAAAGTTGCAAATGTTGATCACATGATCCCAGGATACTGCAAATATAAATATATGCTAGTTTCCAGGAACCCAGATATCGATCACAGAATTTGTGATGGCAATAATTGTGATGAACAGTCATAAGCCACTAATTTTAACTTAGAATAACTTTATTGTCACTTTGAATGTAAACTGTTGGCACACATTAAAATGAAATTTCGTTGCATAGGGCTCTCAAAGGGTCACCACCTACAATATACACTACATAAACATGACTAACTAAAAAATTATGCATATACCCACATATATAACACACAGAAACAACAGTCTAGTTTGGATGTACATGTACATGGCGAGAAAAACGAATCTTGCAAGTTTACCAGATGGATGGCATAGGAACAAAGCTGTTACAGAATCTGGTAGTCCTGCTAGAAATACTTTGAAATCTCCTCCTAGAGGGGAGCAACAGAAACAGACCGTAAAGTGGGTGTGTGGAGTCTTTAACAATGCTTTGAGCTCTAAGCATACAGCGCTTATAAGCAGTATCCTGAATAACAGGAAGCGAATTATCTCGGCTGTCCTTACCACTCTCTGTATGGACTTTCTATCTGAGGCACTGCTGCCACCAAACCAAACAGTGCAGCAGTTTGTTAAAACACTCTTAATTGTATCTCTGTAAAAAGTGGCCGGAACACAAGGAGAAAGATGTGCTCTCTTCATCTGACATAGGAAACGCAAACATTGGTTTGCACACCTTCACTGAGGATGATGTGCGGAGAGACCAATTCAGATTGTTAGTTATCTGCACCCCCAGATACTTAATACTGTTGACCACCTCTCCAGCTGCATCTATCTATACTCTATATAGCATCACTGCAAGTTTGAGCAGTCATTAAGCAAATGTTCATAAGGTGAGCACTTCCTAGAAGGAAGTTTGTTTAGGGAACTTTTTAGGTATAAAGAAGTATCTGACCACCTGTGGTTTATAAGTGCCATTGGACACAATGATCATTTTTGGGA